GAACGATTACACCTTTTACCAAGAACTTCTGAGAAAGAACCGGTGTGTATGTGCGCAGCGTGAACACGCAGTGGCTGTGCGACGAGCGCTCGTTCATGGCGGTGCGGCCGACCGTCCTGGGAAAGGAAGGGTTCGGGTGTTAGATGAGAAGATGAGGAAGTCTCTGATTTAAGTTGTTACAGGTCTAATGCGGAGAAGAACCGGCTAAAGAATGTGAACACGCAGTGGGTGCGTGACGAGCGCTCGTTCATGGCGGTGCGGCCGACAGTCCTGGAGGGGAAGAGGGCGGAGATTAGGGAGGGTTACTAGGGTGACGGTTGAAAAGAAAATTTTCGAAGCACTGCAGTGCAGTGAGAAAAGGAAGATGTGAAGGAACTCGCTTTGGGGACGAGCGTTCGTATTTGACCGCACCGCCGGCGGGTCTGGAGATTGTCTACAGCCGTCACAAAGCAGACTTGCAGAGGAGTCTGATTAAAAGATCAAGTACTGATACAGCGATACATAGAAGACTTTTTTTAATCCCATTGCTGATCTGTCTTCAGCAATGAGTTTTCTCGATAAGAGCATTGAGCCGATCGGAAATGGACACCCCTAATCTAGATGGGTGCCTCAAGCCAACCATTCCGCTTAAAGAGCCCCACCTGCTCTGCGCTGCCTTCTGCATCATGAGCTCCACCTCGTGCCACGTGGCGACCTCCACGAGCGTCAGGTCCGCGACCGTTGTGTTGCCCTGCGCGTCGTGCTTGATGGCGTGAGCCTTGCCGCCAGCGTCCGCGGCCTTGTCCTGGACAGAGCGGGAGAGGATACTTTATAAGAGGATCCTATGATCGAGAAATTGGAGGAACCTCAGATCTATATTTATGAGAAACCCGGCTTGGTCCTGACATGGCGAGAGACGACTCTATACATTGAGGGGGATCATCGAAAGCCATGTATTTTGGTGGAGAAGATGCTCCCAAAAGGAGGACTGGCAGTCCCTCGTGCTGCACAAGAGACTGTGCTTGCATGGCCTCAGCAACGAAGTGCGCACTCTCAACAGGTAGAGACTCTCAAGATGCGGACTTCAAGGCTGCAATGACGCGGGTTGCTTGAAGATCATGTAAGTACTCCAAGGTATAAGGGCTGACACTCGGACCTAGCTGTGTGTTCGCTAATCTCCTACACTGGAGGCCACTCGTATGGATTGCGAGATGCAACCGAAAATATTTATGGACTTGAGCAGGGCCTTGACAACTGTCGAGTACGGTGGCTGGAGTGACGACATACTGAGAAGCCGTTCGTGAGGAAGGCCTCTAGGACTATCCCGCAGCGAGCCCCATATTGGATGATTCAAGACAAGAATGGTTTTGGATGAGCGTCTCACCTTTTGAGCGCTGGCAGGCACCAGCAGGTCCCTCAGCGATTCGTTATAGATCTCCAGCATGCTCGCCTGCATCGTGAACGTCCATCCCTGGAAGGAGACAGAAAGCCAGTGTATTGGGCTTCGAATCTGGTTCCTAACGGAATAATATTCGTCCTGTGCGAGAGGGGAAGTGTCAGGAGTGCACGTTCAGTGATGACGTCAAGCAATTTCGGGCTGGTCTGGTCCGGCAAATGGCTTCACAGGAGTGTTCGAAAGTTCAAAACCAGCAAAAAAGGCTCATAAAGAATCTCAAGTTCTATCTACAAAGCATGTCACAGTGCTACTTCCCGCTCGTCCCACTAATCCAAAGTTGGTTTCAACTTCTCTATTGAAGCAACATCCCAATAGCAGCTCTCTTCCAATCTCTCAATTCAGATGGAGTGCGTCGCGCAGGCTCTTTCGTACCTGCGCCTCCAGGTGCTGGCTGGCCTGGAAGATCTGCTCCAGCGACCGGGGGATCATGCCCCGGGCCTCCGCCGGCTGGGGGACGCCCAGCATGGTGTGGGTCTTGCCGGAACCGGTCTGCCCGTACGCGAAAATGCACACCTGCGCAAATTCACAAGGAGAAGAGACGTTCTTATCAAATTGAAATGATGAGGATTTTCAAGGACAAGCGGCCTGCATCTAGCCAGGGAACAGACTCCTCGGCAAGCAGAAAACACATCGATCGAGGGGCTCTGGGGCCATTGACGCTTGTCTAAAACGCGCTGTATGAACACTGGAAAGATCTTGCATTTCCTGCACCGGTTGGCTCATATTGGATAAGGTCACCCCTGTTGGAGTTCGCCACCGCTCAGTACAGGGTCGAAAGAGGAAGTCTCTTCTACTCACCAAATTCTCTGAGACGTCGATATCTCGAAAAGCGTAAGGAACGATCAAGCAGAAGGCCAGGGCAGACAGTCTTTAGATGTTCAACAGAATACAGTAGATTTTGCTCGCCGCTCTTTTGAATGAGAAAGATTCGAGTTCCCACCTTGTAGCCATCGAGGGCGCTCTGCACGAGCATGGAGATCTCCTGGAACACCTCCGCCTGGGGCGCCTCAGGCCCGAAAACCTTGTCGAATGCAAAGGGGTACTTGGGGCCTGAAACGGGAAGATGGTGTCAAGCGCCGGCGTCCATCGCTAAACAAGTCAAGCGGCGTTTCTCTGTATGCCGATCAATCAAGCCTCTCTTACTCCACAGTCTTCCTGTGGTCTCAAGCCAAGCATCACAAGCCCGGTTTCAGAGAGTCTAAGGACGAAGGCATCACCTGCGGCCGGCACCAGCTCGACCCCCCTGCCCGCCAGCTCTGCTGACGTGGGGTACTGCAGGATAGGCGGCTCGCCCGCACCTTCCTTTTCGTCCTCGGGGAGGGGGGGCCGGACGCGGCAGAAGACACGGATGTTGCCCTTCAGCTCCTGTACACATAGTGTAAGCGGGTTGACAGCCCGAAAATAGGGTCGGTTTTACCATTCTTCGATTTTGCCATGCACTTGAACGAGGTTGAACCAAATGTGATAAGATGATTGAAGTTGCATCATCATTAAGTAATAGGAAAGCGATGCGAAGTGAAAGGCCTCTCTCCCCTCAGACTGCAAGTCAGTTGAGCCAGTATGCGTTGAAGAGGCATTCACCACGTTCTTCCGGTTCCGTGGGGTGATAAAACAGTTAACAAGCACGAATCACCGCGCAAATCTGTGTCACTACCCTTCGAGCAATATCCTACTCTCACGTGAACGACCGAGAACTTGTGCAGACAGACTGATTGCCAGAGAAATCGTCTTCGAGAGACGTTAAGTGACGCCTTCCGAAGAGGCAAGACTGACGTCACGCACCTGGATAGTGTTGTGCAGCTTGCGGCGGACCTCCTCTCCGTCCGCCACCTTCTTTTCCGCCTCCGCTAGTTGCTCCTCTAAATCGGTGCACTTAGCCTGAAGGCCGTCCGCCTCCGCCCGCCGCTGCTTCGCTAAGCCCTCCGCCAGCTGTCAAGAGGAAATTCGACAGGTCGGTTAAGGTCAGAATCCGCTCGATATTGGAACAGACTTTGGAAATTGCACGGTGTTTCAAAGTTGAAGATTCACCCCGAAGATAATTTCTGGTTGGGTGCGCACGCTGTTTCTGAGCGTTTGAAATACCTACGTAACAATAGAAACGATGGTAGGCCGAAGGACCAGCCAGGAAGCGACAGATACGTGTTCCTTGGACAGTAGGACTACAAGTTACATCAAACTCTCAACAGTGTTACCTCTGAAACTAGGTTGTAGAGAGAAAATCCTAAGCAAAAGTTTGGCTTTTGTCGACCCACCTGGAACTTATGGGAGCCAACCTCGATCTGCCGCCTCAGGCCCGCAATCAGCTCAGCCTGGGACGAGAAGCTTTCCTGTAAAATGAATGATTGTATTCGCTTAGATGGAATGCGCACAAACATTGTGGCGGTCTTAGCAATAGAATGCCCGAAGCTAAGTTGCGAATGGTGAGCGGTGAGCAGGCCGCTACCTGGTCGAGCTCTTGGCCACACGTTCCTTCTCGGTCGCTTTGATGGTACCGGTATTCGGAAGGGAGGCCAAGTTCGTCTTGGATGTCAAGAGAGACGGAAATGCCTTTGCAAACGGACTCAAATTCTGCGCCCGCTCCCGAAGCATTCCATTGCTCTCCGGATCCGTCGCTGTCCGCTGCAACCCGCAGTGAAATGGAACCAATCATAAGAGGAAATACTCGAGGTGCAAAAACCCAGCTTGCGACCATACCAACTGGGTGATCCGTCCGTGAAACGGCACCAAGACGAAGGCAAAGGAATGCGATATACCCTTCTCTAGAACAGCTCCATCTGCACAGCATGCTTGCCGGTTCGCACAAGCGAACCAAGAGCCATCAAAGAGAAGAACCAGGGACCAACAAAACGACAAGGCAGTAGAACGAGAAACCAACCTCGAGCGCGGTGGCCTTGTTCGCGAGCGACTCCATCTCTGCGGCAGACTTTCCGGTGCATTCGCGGTACCGCGCGTTCTCTGCCGCCAGGGCCTTCCCTTCGGCCGCCCGCTCGTCACGCTCCGCCACAACTTTGACCACCTCGGCACGTGCCCTCTCGCAGTCCGCGGCTAGGAGCTGCTTCGACTGGACTGCCTCGTCTGCCGAGCGCTGCAGAAGCGCACGGGGAAGGATTCGATCTCGGTGTCTTCTTTATCTTTTTGGTTCTCCTAAGCAAAGGAGTCAATTCGCTACGAAGGGTAACGTCAGAGAAATGTTTGGTACAATTTCCTTGTGTTGCTACCTTGAGAGATGCTTGTTGTGTTTGGAATGAGGAGGGACTCTGCCTGGCCCTAGCTGTCTCGAAGAAAAGGGTTGCTCAAAGTACGGCCTTCGAGCAGAGCCAAAGACGTAAGAACGGGGATTGCACCTGAAGATATGGGCATGGTCCGTCGAACGAAACGTTTCACGCTGTGCAAGCTGAGTCCTTTTGTGGACGTGTTGCCACTGCTTCAAATGTGAGTTAAGAATGTGTACTCACCATGGCCTGCCCCAGCTGCGCCTGAAGGGCCGCATTCTGCCCCTTTACCGCCGCCATCTCTTCCACCAGGACGGCGCGCTCCTCCTGCACCTTCAGTAGCGCCTGCTGCGCAGTTGCCGTATCGCCCTGCAAGAAGCAGGATGCGGCTTATCCATTTGCGAGGGAATGGGTGTAAGCTTCGCTATCACAGCCATAACTTCACCATGAATAGCTCTTCGACTCTCTTCTGCTGGAACTAGTCTTGTCTGCAGCTGGAAGGAGGCGCTGCTCATTGATCTTTTGTTTCCGCTTGTAGGACAATCCGAAAACACTGACCATCTCTGAAAGACCTGTTGCGCAAAGACCCGACCACTTCCGCTCCCTCTGATTGTTCAGTGTGAGGACCAACAGCCAAGTCCCTTTGCTTTGAACCCAACACTTATCCTATTCTCACACCAAACCTTCAGAACGAAACGTCAGCATCACGAGCGGTTGGCCAGGTTCACACCTGCAGTTTGCTATTGTACGACTGTAGGCTGGTGTTGTACTCCTGGAGCCGTGTGTTGATGTCCCGCATTGCAGCCCCTTGCTCGGTCAATGTGGCAATCTCCGCTTGGGCACGGGACAGGTCGGCTGGACAAAAAGAGGAGAAAAGAACGGACTTGAAGGGCGAATCCTCTTGAATTCACAAGGAGGGCGTCCAATAAGGTCTTTTATCGCAAAACCATATAAACATATTTTCTCATGGTCGTAAGTGACCAGACGAGCCAAAGGACTGGTTGGGGAGGCTGGCTACTCCATTCGATTGGCTCCTAGAAGCCGGGTCGCTCTGAGCTTGACGGCCGTTTAAGCGAAGCATCCCTGTGAAATAGCATCCATCTGCCAAGCCAAGGGATTAGCGAGGGAAGCTTTGAGTATTGACTGCATCTCGATGTCAGCCAAAGAGCTTTGTAGCCTTCACTCGGCGAGTCACTGACGCCCATTCGGAAATAGCCAGCTTCTACCCCTTCGGGAGGTCTGAGGTTAACATTCCCGCTTCAATGCATGGTCTGGATCAGCTCCTTACTATAAAATTGACCCTGCTTTTCCACCCACCTGTGAGCCGGGACTTTGTCTCTGCCGCTTCCGCCAGCGCCTCTCCGTTGCTCTGCCGCACCGCCTGCAGGCTCGCGTTTTCCGCCTGGGAGTCTGAAAGTCTCCGCTCTAGTTCGCTGATGTTCTGCTTCAGAGCTGCCACCTCCGTCTCCAAGTCACTCTGCCTCCTTGCGGCGGCCGTGGCTGCAATTGAACTAGACCCTTTTAGACAATGCACATGGCTCTTTTGAATCTTGCAAAGGAAACTCCATCCACCGTCTCTGAACATGTCTGGTGGAGAACAAACGTTAAATTGGATATTCTGCTTTATTCTTTCACTAACCGTACTGACCCCGAAGGAACCTGATGTGTGGTGACAGACGCACTTTTGTCCTTCCACTCTCCTTGGCTACGTTTGACCGGAGGCTGCCCTTCACTATGAGGAAGCCCCATGAACTCAGGTGGACCTGAGTCACCCATCCTTGAAAGACAATAGAGTCCTAGAAGATTTCTCGCACTCTGCAGTTCCCTGAGCAGGTTGCCTTGTGGTGACTATGTATTTGAACGTCTTCAAGTCCTGCAAAGCATACTCCCCTCTTCACTTAGATGAGAGGCCAAATGCAACGTATCCTTCGCCCTTCGCAAAATGGCATACCTGCGTCCTCCCTGAGTGTCTTCTCCTTGGCAACGTCGGCCTGCAGGCTGTCCTTCTCCATGAGGAAGCCCTGCTCCAGCTGCTGGAAGTTGCGGATACACGCGCGCAGCTTCTTGATGTACTCCATCATCTGCTCGCTCTTGCCCTGGCAGCAAAAAGTGAGATGCATCGCAAAGATGTTCAGCTGTGAGTCAATCGGTCTGCTGGTTAATGGCTGGCCAGAGAAAAGATTGCGTGCAGCTCTTGAGCTACTTGATCATCAGCTCGCTTGCCCTTTCAGCAGAAGGACACATCAGCAAGATGTCAATTCATCCGAAAGGATCTTCAGCTGTGGTCGGTCTGCTGGCAGATGGCTGGCCAAGGGAAAGTTTCGAGGAATGCCTTGGAAATGTAGTACCACTACACAAAGAGCACAAAGAAGAAAGGCACTCGCTCACCACATCTCTATCCTCTCAGCCAGCTTTGAGCACATCTCATTCGGTTGCTACACACCTTGTTAAAAAGACAACCAAGCAAAGCACTGAAACATAGCGTCTACACCGCTGAGGCACCAACATAAGGAGCAATTGCGCCCTACACATCATCCCTCCGCCAAATACAAGGCAGTTTTCAGCAGATTACTGCCCACCTTGTAATCGAACTTGCCCTTCCCCATCATCTTCATGCTCAGCAGCTCTTCCACGTTCATGCTGGCCGAAGAGATGCCCTCCCACTGTGGCTCAGGGACAGTTTGCACTGCAGAAGCCACCGGCGGCCGGCCATTCACAGAGTCTTTCCGCGCAGAGAGACCGCCAAGCGTGGCCCGCCTGGTTGGAGGAGCTGGGTCGAGAGTTGACAGCTTGCGCTTCTTCTCGGGGGGGCCGCAGGCATTCTCCTTGTCCTGCATTTGTTTGTGTAGTGCACGTTTCACCATTAGGATTGCAATGTGAAGTCTGTGTTTGGGGCATGCAGAGCTTCCGTCATGTTTGGAGCATGGGGTGCTTTGCTTTTGCAGAGTTGAGATGTGGGTTGATGGGGTCAGAAGGAAAATGCTCCAATAGATCCTGTGCAATGCTGAAGGTTGTGCCATGGGCTGGGAAACCGTGAGAAAGCAGTACTTAAGCCACCAGCGAAAATCTCTTTGCTTAAAAGTTGCGGGTCGACATCGCTTGATGCAAAACGTTCAACTTCATTGCCCAGCTTAAATAGCTTGACAAGTGAAAGAGCTGATTGCAGAATTAACCTCAGAGTAAGAGTGTAGCGGAGATTGTTCAGCAGGTTGATGAGAATATCAGAAGCATCTTTCCACATTGATGTCCCAGAAATGGACGAGCACAACAATTTTATGTCCTGACAAACCCTGCCTCAGTTTCAGAAGACATGACTGCAACTTAACCTTTTCATTCGGTAGCCTTGCCACCTGCTATGAATGAGAAGGAGTACCACCTGGCACCGCTCTGGTCCCAAAAGGCAGGCCGTTACGCATGTGACTTGGGTATCCAAGGCCAGCCTGAAGTGCATTGCTTTTCCGTCAAGTTGGTATACAGTGTAGTTCGCTCTTACCGCAACAGGATCCATAGTGGCCCTGGAGGAGGTTGGGGCCCTGGGCAAGCGCGACGGTGCAGAAGACTTCATCAGCGACTACCCTAGACTAATGCTCGCTGGCTGTCAAGATACCCTGAGCTGATTCAGTTTTCTGATTGTGTATCTAGATGGTCCTTTCCCTCTCCAGAGTTCTAGAATAATTCTCATTCGTGTTCTGATTCACTAATTGGTCAAAGTCACTGTTCTCCACCTGCATTGCCCGGCCGCTCTGTGTGGGGCAATTGCTGCTTCCAGCACTCTCTCCTACGGTGTTGACTTCAACAAAAGCTTGCGTTTCCAAGTAGCCTTGTCTCTGGACGTGACTCTTCCCGGCTTGCAAGCGTCCTCAGAAACTAGTACCATAACTGTGAAAGCAGACCAGTTGCAGAACCATAGCCGAGCTTGTTTGCAGGCGCACCTCGGCAACAGTACACGTCTTTCGAAAAGACCGCCCCAGCGGCTTTTTCCCCTTTGAATCGAACTCCCTTTCACTTTCAAGTTTCTGCCAAGGGGAAATCAAAGGAACTTTTGAACCTTCTGCTCAAGCCGTTGTTTCTCATCGGGCGGCCTTACGAGAGGGCATCGACGGTGCAGAATTAACCCGCGGTAAGATCGCGCGCAGAACGCGCTTGGAAGACCGCGCAGCCCTAAACCTTTCTAAACCCGGCATCCCCACGGATGCACAGCACCGCGTCGCGCGACGCGCGCGCGGCCGGCAGACTCCAACCAACTTAGTTAAACTGTGATTTTCCCCGCGTTTGTCATGTGCCAGGCGACTCCGCCGCAGCTGGGCGGCTCATAAGTGTCGCTCGATGTCTGGCTTTCTCTGTTGTATTTGAAAATGCTGATTGTTGGCACCCCGTTGGCACCAAGTCTTTACTAGGCCCCCACTATGCCGGACAAAATAAAGAGTACCTGTACTTTTTGAAGCGCACTCAGGCTCTCGGGAAGACCTGATTCAGCACAATAACAACGTAGTGCCGACACTAGGACGTTTTTATTAATGTTCGATCTGTACCATCTTGTAGTTCGAGTTGCAGGTTGTCTTGGATTCAAATATCATATCGTATGGTGATCGTATGATTGCCACCTTTTTCTGACCTTGGGCTTGTAACTCGGAGAAAGATCCGCCTGTATCATCGTATCAGGCTGTCTGCTGGCGAACACTTGGTGGGTACTTGAGCTCCTTTAGCACGTTTTTGCGAGTGAAACCTCCATCGGCAAGGCTTCGTGCAAACGTCTCAGATGGAAACCGGTGCGCAGAGGCGAGAAGAGCGTTTGGCGTGACGTGAAACTGCGGACCGCAAGAACGCTAAGGTGACATGCGCCACCCGGAGATAACGCAGGAAGCCTGTTCTTAGCTTCGACCGACAAGGAACATATGAGCATCTATGAAACTCACGAAAAATAGTAGTAAGCCAAGATAATAGTAAGGTAACCGCACTGGGACGGGTAGGGTTAGTTTGGTGGTTAGGGTGGGTACGGATGCGGAGCAGGTATCTTGTGAGGTCAGGGTTCTCAGTGTTAGTCTGAGCTTACTATTATCTTGGCTAAGTATTATCTTTCTTGAGAGTTATCGAGCATCCGTGGGACTCCGTCAGCAGCTCTGGGGCGCCGCCATCCGCATCCGACGAATCAGGCTTTGCAGCCGTGTCATTTGCGCTGTCGTGCTCGGCGGCAGCCCCGCGGGCAGCTCTCCGCCCCGGCATGCAGGCGGCTTTGTTCCAACTAGTATGAGACGTGTCCAGTCTTAAGTATTTTTCAGCCAGCGAGATACGATTTTATTCAGCTTCTGACCAGCCCGGCCCAGGCTTCGGCATCCAAGCCTCAGGTTTTATCTCAATTCATGGACGAGTGTCAGTGTGATTAAGATCAGAAGTCATAGCCGCACTGCCTGCAGCCTAAACTCGTCAAACTTTTCAGTTGCAATCTTGCACAGAATGCAAACCAACCACGTAAGAGTCGGTTTGCAATTGCAGAAGTATGACGAAGGGCGCTGTCCTGTCAGGGACGTTCAATCTGGTCTCTTGTACGACCACGAAAAGCCCCAGAATAGAAAGTCGAAAAGTGAGGAAAGATATCAAAAGATGAGGGAGACAAAAGCACAAAACGGTAAAACGACTAGCCGAAGAAGATGTGAGAAAAAAGGAGGAATGAGCAGAGCTTTAGTAGAGATCCTGGCGCAAGCAGTACAATCAAGTTGAGCTGCCGAGAACGGGAGCCACAAAGTGAAAGCCGTTGGGCTGCCTTGCTTGTATTTCAGTCGGCCGCTCTTCCCCGGGCTGCACTTCAAACAACGGGGTTGAGAGAAAAATAGTTGAGTCGCTTCTGAAACTCTAGCTCTCTTCTCGAAGCACTCGGAGTGAGCTTTTTGGCCCTCCTTAGAAGTGTTCTACCTGACACTCATGACCATGTATATTGAGCGCGGCTGTTTTGTGGAGCGCAAGAACGCACTGACGTCTCGGAAGTCCGCTTCGCTATATATGATCTCCGATCGACCGGTTCATTCTTCTGTCGGTGCGTGCGTGCCTGGGCCACAGTATGCCACTTTTAAAGGGTTCTGCAGATTAGATGCAAGTGCGAAGCGGCTTGAAGCTCTGTCCACTCATTTCTCATGTCTTGCTTGATTGCAGCTTTGAGAACAATATCGTTTGATTACGTTCGCTTGAAGGTGCCCGGCCCGTTACATTCATAGCACTTGACGTATACTCATGGCAGACTTTCTCGGCGCTGCGTTCTGGCTGCCTTCACTGGAAAGATCTATCCGGGTTCCTTCAAGGCCTTGCCATAGGAGAATTCCACAGAATTTTCGGTAGTTTTCCTTACATTGCAGCGCAAGAGAGTCAGCCATGAGCGCATCTCGATTGCTATGAACAGGCCCAACGAAAAGATGCTGCTTTAGCATCCGAGCACCTGTCCTGGGTAGGAGTCTCGGTTAACGAAGTGGGCAAACGCACTTAATGAATCCGTTCTGCTGCAGTTTTTCTGGGTGTCCAGCTTGGAAACTTGTCGTTACCAGATCAAATCTTGGGACGAAAACCACGCCTTGCTGTTGCGAGATTAATCTCAACTTGCATAATCACTTGCCACCCATACTTCCTGTCTCACAATTATTGGCGACCGAAACGCTTCTCAAAGTGCGCCGAGCTTTTCCTGCCTCAGCCTGAGCCGAGGTGATAATGACAGACGTTTTCACGGAGTTCCTCGTCATGGGTCTGCTCCTACACGGTAACGTCACCTTCAGTGCATCACTGCCGTCGAAGTTGGTCACGAATCCTGACATCGACGGTTCAATTATCAGAGGGGACGTCACGAACAAAACCCCACAAGCTTGCCCGCTTTGTGACTGCTACAAAACGGCCAGGCTGCGACGTTTTGAAACACCCTTGCGCTTGGGGCAATGTTGCAGCCTGTGAGGGTCTACCGAGGCGCACCAATTATGGTTGAAAACTAACTTCCAAGCTCCCTTGTTCTGGCCCCTCGGGGTCGAGACAAGAATTTCTGAAAGCTGAGCCTTAGTTCAGCTTCAGCCATCACATCCGTCTTCCAGTACATATCCGTTCTCTAGATACATGCACCCAATTTTCATTTCAGAGCAAATCCGTATCCTGATTGAATTGTTGTCCAGTAAGGCAAGTCGAGCCTGTCATATATAGCTTATAACATGCATTCCATTCAATGTCAACCCAGATTGTCAGTACGTTTTCCGCTCTTTGTCAAGGACTTCTAGGTCATTCTTTCAAAAGTGTCACGGGATCTTCAAGGGCCGCCCAGTTTGGCTGAATGACGCCATGCTTTTCCGCCACATACGACGCAGGTCTGGCTAGCTTGGCGGATCAATGAGACAATGAACTTGTATACGGCAGTTCATATCCGGGGGGAGAGCACCGAATCACCTTTATGTGGAGATATGAAGGAGCCACAGTGGGGAAAGAGAAGAGGCAATGAAGCTATAGTTCCTTCTTTTGTCGCGGTCACAAGGCGTATTATCATACAGATCCGTCTGTATATATACGTGGCAAAGTTTTTTGTGCAAAATTAAGGTTTTCTCAATCACAGATGCTTACTACTGTAGTTCCAAACAGATTATCCTGGACACTCGCTGGACTCAGGGACGCGCAGGGCGTGCCACCGTGTAGAAACCGTCAGATCATCAGCGACATGTACTCACGCGATAAGTCTTGCAGATCCCATGCGGGCCCTAGATAAGCGGGTACGTGAACGTCTAGCTGCAAACAATCATTCCGACAGCTCAGTACTATAAGCTGATTCTTATCGATCAGCTAGAACCCGGCGCGCCGTCGTTTGACTTGTTGAACCGTTGAACTGGATTGGATCGACAATGCATGTCGGATCGATCATTGCGTATACGTTAGTACGTGGCGCAGCAGATCAATGCCGCGTGATAGACTCTGTCACGCGCATCATTGCATACATCTGAGATGTATGGAGATGTATGCAACTGAGCGAGTCGTCGAGGCCCGGCGGCCCATGCAGTTATTTAAGATATAGGCCAAAAGCACAGTCCGAATGTAGAACATGGTAGGACCGTCACTACCGTACCGCATGTGGCTGCGCCGCGGACTCACCAATGGCAACTTAACCGGCGGGGCGTGTCAGAAATGCCTGATGATGATGATCGGACCGTGTCATACAATCATTCTCTGAGACCGATATGTTGATTGCAGGTTAGATTTGACTTACGACACGCTCTAGCTGCAGGGCGACCGTCGCGCCGTTGCCCACAACCAAACAATCACGAGATAAGCTAGGATCCAATTGGTGCAAAATTGTTCAGGCTCGCATCCAAACAAGGGGGTGGACTGATGGGAAGGAGGATTTGAACAGCTGAGCGCTCTAGCTTCTCCAGATAACGCGTCAAGTGTGGGCGACCAGTTCGAGAGGTAAAATTGTGTCAGAATATCTTCAAGACCAGACCAAACGACCCAAGACTAACCGTTAAAGCGGATTGAGTATCCAAGTAATGTCGTCCAGGATTATTTTGAATGCCTTCCCCGCCGCTACAGGTCTAACAATCTGTGGATGAATACCCGCCCTGCCGTGCAGTGTAATCGGGGCACCCTGGCTCCTCGGGTCCTCCTTGCAAACCCATGACACCCAAACCCGCTACAACCCGCAGAATGAACCACAAGAAACTTCAAGGCGTGCAACTCGACTTATTTGTCAAACCAGAACTTCCTACAATTCTCAGCCCCGCACCGGCACTGCACCCGGCCGTCTGCCGTCGTGTCCGCGGAGTTGAACGGCTGACCGGTGCCGTCGAGGAGATTGTAGTCCCACGTGAGCTCCTCGCCAATCTGGATGCGACGTTTCGCGCGCAGCAACGCGCCCGGGGGACCGTCGTTCCCCCACGGGTTGTGCGGGGAACCGCACCTGATCATGACGAGGTCCAGGTTGCCGCCGTCACAGGAGTGGTTGAACTGCACAGGACGGCCAGAGACGGTTCGGTCAACACGCAACGAGAGATCCAATGCGTAGAAGCACAAATCAGACAAGATAACCGACGAGCGGCTTTTAAAGAACGTGCAGACTGCCCAACAGCTGCCTGCCTGATAAATGCAGGGCGCAAGACTCGACTGCAAGATACTTCTATTTCAAATCCAACCAGCAGTTTCAGGAAAGGATCCGGCAAAGGAACGCCCAAAACAGCAACGGAAGTTTCCTTCGGCGTCTGACTGCCTTCAGAAAGGCAGAGAGAGACTTAAAGTCCTTGACCGGCTTCAACCAAAAGCACTAAAGTCGGCCTGCACCGTTCTTTCTAATGGTGCGGAAGACCTGAAGCTTAGCCTTAATGTTGCAGGACCAGGATTATTGACAGAGTGGCCTGTACGTTTGTCAATTTGAGTCCCTGTTTGATCCAATCTTGATTGACATCCGTACTCGTGGTCCTTATGAGAACTCGGAATCTGCCGGAACATGCTGAAAGCCGACCGTCAAGCTGTCCGAGCGAAACAGAAGAGCAAGAAACACTTGATCCCCAATATGATCCTTCGCTATCAGGTATGACATTGTCAGGTTCAACGGACAAGCGCCCTCTACTCGTTACACCCTGAAAGTGAAAAACAAAAGCTACACCACGAGCGAGCCCTGGCGACTTACAAAGCGGGTGACATTCCCCGCCTGGGTCTGGTCCACAGAGTACTTGGGCGCCAGCTGGGTGACGTAGCAGGGCAGACGCCGCTGGCGATATGACACCTGGCGGTTCTCCAGGTCATCCTTGTGCACCACCTGTGACCCGGACGTCTTTGTTAGTTGAACCCTTTCAGGTTGGTCGAACGGGCTGTGGTGTGCCATTCACAGGCAACTCTGATCTCGTCATTGACGTAACCGCACAGCATCAATAAAGCAAAGCCGAGTAGATCCGCAGGCGCCCTTCTGGTCGTACTTGGATGAAAGCAGGAAATAACATGAGAGGAGTACAAGATGCGCAGAAACGCACATGCACCGGTCACGGATGAGCAGAATCTGCAACCCTGCGCAAACACGATCTCGGAACCTCCACCGTGCCCAACCAAAAGCAGTCAGCCTCTTCACTACTGCCTTGTCGGCAAAATCGAAGGGCAAACACCTCGCCACCAGGTTCTCAACAGCAAACGGCCCTCACCTCGCCGCACATCTCAGCGATGACGTCACCCGCCTGGATGACCTCCAGCGCGCGTGCCCCCAGACCCTTCGGCCCCGCGTCGCACACGCGGAGCCGCTTCAGCGCGCCTTTCTTCAGAAACCGGTCCGCAACGCACCCCTTCCCAAACTGCTCTTGCAGGTCCGCGTCCCGAGTGCATTTACACTTGCACTTGCACTTGGTCGCACACCGGCATTCGCGCGGGGTCCACTCCTTCCGCTCCCGCGGGACGCACAGGCACGCGCCGCGTTTCGTGGAATTAGGTCCCGGGATGATGCACTTACTGGAGCTGCACGGCACGTGGTTCGGGTACGAGTTCTCGGGCCAGTAGCGGAACATCTGCGCGTCGAGGCGCCGCTTCGCGGGGAGCTCCACCTCCACGTTCGGCTCGAAGAAAAACACCTCGACATCCGCGAACGGTGAACCGCCCCCGTATAAAGCAGCCCCCGGATTGCTTGGCTCCGGACCTTGCTGAGGCGCCGTACCAGGTGCGTCGTCGTCTGTTTCTTCCTCCTGGTAACTCGATCCGGACGGCCTCCGTTCCGCCCAGCCGGCTGACGAAGACCGCTCCCTTTCGGACGCATCCCAACGCCTCTCAGACTCTCGGACGTCCGCGACTCCGTCCGAACTTCCGGCCAATTCTTCCTCGCGCCCCGAGCCTCCGGAAGGGGGGGTCAAACGCCCGTTGAAAAAGGCATCGAGGGGCCCCCCGCGAAACGGCGCCTCCTCCTTCTGAATCATGTCCGTCACGTTCAACCTAGGCGCCGACTTCACCGCAAACACCGCCTTCCGCTTCGGCGCCGCGTTGCCGTTCCCCTCGCCACTCCTAGTTCTTTTCATCGCTCTCCCAATTGGCTCGTCGCTGCTCACGCCCCGCCCCTCTGCCGAAGAACCGCTGCAAGCCCCCCCCGGACTTCCCCCCATGCTTGCGCTCTCCGCCGTCTCCTCAACAATCCGCCTCCGCTTTCCCCCTGGCAACATTGCTTCCCCGTCTCTGCTCCGACTTCGCGCGCCACTCCCTCTCTCATGCTCCAAAGCTGGCTCGCACGTATCTTCGTCCGCGTCGGTTGCGCCCGGCCTGAAGGACAGCTCGGACGACGCGTTCCGCTCGACGGCGGGGCTTTCCGCCCCTGTGTTGGGTGGCGGCTCGCTGTTCTCGGGGAGGCGGATGGGCTCGGCCGGGGGGGTCGCACTAGGCTGCACGTCAATATCCAGACCCGCGGCATCTGCATGAGAATAGGAGGGCGATCTGTTTTCTGACTGCTCTCTAAGCTACGATGGAGGAAGTGTTGCCGACCAGAACGGGACACAAGCAGTCGTCCTTCGAAAAGCGCCAAGGGTTCACGTGTTGCCTTTGGATTGCAGCGGAATCAAGCTCAACTGGAATCGGACTCCAATGTTCACTTTTCCGTGCTGGACCTGCGTCGGGCTTGAGAACGATCCGCTGTTTCAAAAACGTTGCAATCAGAGCCAGTAAGAAAGGAGCGAAGGACTGCCTCAAAGCAGATCTTCGGTTCTGAGGATAAGTAATGGTAAATCTTGGATGCCAGAAGCAGATTCTCATGTTGTTAAAGAGGGAAATCCTAACCGTTGGTCTGGCAGTGGAGAGTCTTGGGCATTACATGCTGACAGTGGAGGCACCGACCGGCGCTTATCCCCTTGGAAGGGCTGCATGCGTAAACCAAAAAGAGCCGTCCCCAGGGTTTCCACCAGGGAGAACCAAAAGTAAAAATGCTTTCCGTGAATGTATTTAGATGATGCACTCAGAGTGCTGCACACGTTTGCAAGATTGTAAGATTTCTCAGAAAGAGACCTGTTGATTTGTATTCTGTTGCTGCCTGCAGATTGGTTGCCCTTTCCTTCTTGCTCCGATGTTGCCGTTTGCATTGCTGTTCACTAAAGACGCTGCAGTTTGCATTGCTATATACTGTAGATTTCAACAGTCGGCAAAGTGCTTGAGCGTGTCACTAGCTGGAGCGTCGGCGAAAACTAGAACAGAATGTTGAACCAGGTACCGACAGACTTAATAATAAGGATACGTCTTCTGAAGCAAGACCTGTCCCTGACGCCTGACGGCAAGGACAAAGAATGATAACCCTGTTCATGCACTCGTTTCTTGCCTGGATCCGACGGAGTAAACATAAGTCCACCAACTGGTTCCTGCATTCCTGGTACCTCAGCTTTCGTATCATCCTGGCCAATTTGAGCAACGACTTTTCGAAAAGGAAGAGAACCAGCAAGGCCCCAAGAATCTCACCAGCAGGCAGCTCTTCTCTCAGCCCCGCTACCTCCCGTTTCAACCCCCGCACCAGCTCCAGCAGATCCACCGCCGTGTCACACGCGTTGAGGCGCCGCTCCCAGCGCCGCCAGAACCCGGGCCGGTCCACTACCTCCGTCGCAACCGACTTGGGCAGCCATCCCAGAAAGTTCCTCAGCTGGTTGAGCGTTCCCGCCGACCGGACACCCTCCCACTTGTCCGCCCACTGCCCTTTCTTCGGCCCCCGGTACGAGCTCAGCAGATCGTCCCCGAGCGCCGCGAGCTCCCTGCGAACAACCACCGGGAGGAGCACCGGCCGACTTCTCCCCCGCTCTAGTTCCCCGTCGTCCCGCTTCTTCAGGATCGTGCGCCCCTGCATGACGCTCGGCTTCTGCGGAATCGTTGCAAACACCTTCCCCCGGCCGACTTCTGCGCCGCCGACCCCCGGGCCGCCGCCGGCCCTCTTCTGCGCCTCAACGCTACTGAAGAAGTTACCCGAACCCAGCTTCGATCTCGAGGGTTTGAGAGTTTTCCTCTCGTTTCCAGGCGGGCCTACATTGCTTGTTTCCCCCAGGGCTCGGTAATCAGTGGCACACTTGCCTGCGGTGTAACCACTCGCGCCTGCTGTTCCAGACACCGTGCCGGGAAACGCGGAATCCTCCTCGCGGACTCCGTCAGATGCCGCCGCTGCCGCCCAAGCGTCTGCTGATCCTGACCCTATAGCATCAGCGCCGTCGTGCTCCTGGGCTGCGACCCCAAGGCTTCCGCTTTCCAGTACTTCCCGTGTCACAATTGGGGGGGTGCTTCTGTCTGTCCCGCCTCCACCTGAGGACTGCCCGCCTGGCAAGAGCGGCTCGGCTGTTTCTTCCCTCGGGCCTGTCCCCCCAACGCTTCCAGCAGACCCATCCCTACTAGGCCCAGGGTCTGAATTGCGCCCCTTGCTTCCGCTGGAAGTTGGCCGTTCAGCTGCCACGTCCGAAACCGTCGGACGCTCCCCGCTTCCCAAACAGTCAGATCGTCCGGCATCTTGGCCCGGCACTGGTTCCCAATCATCATTGCAAGTTCCCGCCCCAAACTCTGCCTTGTTTGCGCGACTTTCTCTGATGGATCCGTGGTGTGTTGGTGATGGCACACGCCTTTCCGCCTGCTCGCGTGTCTCTCGCAATCGGTCAGAGAAGCTTGCGCGGCGGCTCTCCATCCTCCCCCTCTTCGCCAGCCTGTCCGAACTGTCACCACCCACGGGCCGCTTGACAGACCCCGAACTCCCCTTCCCTGTGGCCAGCTTTTCCAGCCTTTCCAGCCTGGGCTTTGCAAACTCCAGAAACTCTGCTGACGTCCGGCCACCATACAGCGTCGGGGGCACGTCATCAGGCCCAAGCTCCACATTCAGACCATCCCTCCACATCTCCTCATCCCCTCGGCTATGATGTCTTGCCCGCTCTGCGCTCTCCCCTGCGCCACCCGTTGCCCTTGTTCGTTCTTCAACCCTCTCCCGCCGTTGCCTTACCCCTTCAGCCGTCTCCTCTCTAGCGCTGGCCACCCGCTCTGCTTCCCCTTGCGCCACGTTAGATTGCCTCTCCTCGCCCCTCCGATGGCTCCACCCCCCGCTGCCTTCCCCTGCAACACCCGGGTTCTCACCCTCATCATCGTCCAAAGCGACAACGTCCGCCTCGCGAGCCCTTTCCTGCGCTTCCCGCCTGTTTGCAGCGCGCTTCGCTCTCAGCCGCTCCGCTCGATCCACTTTCGCCCGCCTCTCTTTCTCATCCTCCTCGTCACTGCTCAGATCCACAACCAGCCGCGTTTTAAGTGGCCCCCCCTTTTCCCGCGTCTCTTTTCTGCCTAGGGAAAAGCCCTTACCGCCAGCAGCCTCCTCCATCTCAGGTTCAGTCTCTGCTGCTCCATCCTCCTTCTCCGGCTCCTTCATGTCACCAGAAATGCCCCCCACATCAGCAGCGTTCCCTGTCCCTACGACCCTCGCTGTCTCTCCCTCTTCTTCCCCCCTCGTCTCAGCTTCTTCTCCACCGCCCGAAGTCACACCCACATCAACAGCCGCCCCACTTCCTTCACACCCGTTTGCCTCCACCTCTTCCTCAAAGTCTAGATCAATCACCATGCGAGAAACCGCCCCAACCTTCTCTACCCCCTCCGAAACCGAGTCAACACCCTTTCCCCCCTTCTCTTGCCCGGCAGGAGGCAACTCGTCTTTCTCCCCCACACGCTGCACCTCCAAAGACTCGCCGCTGTCGTCTTCAACCCTGTGCTTCCCTTTCCGCCGTCTCTCTGCTTCGTATCTCGCAGAGCTCCCCCCCGAAGCAGTGCTACCCTCTGCAACCCCCTGAGCATCCCCCCTTTCATCACCTCCCCCTTCGCCCTCCCTTTCCTCTCCCCTCCTTTACCCCNCTCTCCCCTCCTACTCCCACTCNCCTCTCTGCCGTCCTTCCCCCGTGTCCAGGCAACGGTCATCCGTTGCGACACCAGTCGCTGCCTCTCG